AGGTTGTCGTCTTATATTACCAAAGGCCAGAGCTCTGCTTGGTTCTACCTTTACCTTTTAGAAAGAAAATCCCACTGCACAATTTGGAACTGAGAACACCCCCAACGCTGCGCAGGCGTTCACTTTAACACACCCTGTACCTCCAGAGACCTCAGCGATGTGTCAGTGTGCAGGTCCCTCTGCCTCCCTTTTCCCCCAGAGCGACCATGCAGCACCTCCCACAAGCAGGAAAAGTACTCTAGGATCAGTCCTTCTTCCTCGTGCTTGGGGTATTCTTCTTTAGTTGTATCATGTTCTTGTTGGCAAGTTGGGTGGTTGACTGCTCGCAGCACTTGTCTGACGTGCATCCCTTTTCTCCTGCCTCTCACAGCAAGATGGCTTCTGGATCTACTCGGAGTACTGTAACAATCATTTGGATGCATGCATGGAGCTTTCCAAGCTGATGAAAGATAGCAGGTACCAGCATTTCTTCGAAGCGTGTCGTTTATTGCAGCAGATGATTGATATTGCCATAGACGGTTTCCTTCTGACGCCAGTGCAGAAGATCTGCAAATACCCCCTGCAGCTCGCAGAGCTACTGAAGTACACCGCGCAGGATCACAGGTATGCTGATCTCTTACTCCATGTAAGAGATTTTGCTCACTGCTTCTTTACATGGCCTCTGCACACACACAGGGGTTGGGTTTTTTTCTGTCCAGCTCTTGTCTTCATGACATCTTGTATAAATTGAAGCAGGGCAAAGGTTCAGCAGTTAGAAAGCTTCTCAAAGCACTGATTCTCAATAGAGCCAAACTCATCTCTATTATAATCAGACATGTGAACTAATTACCCTTGGATGTACTTTCTGATGCTACTGGTTACAGCAGAAAAATCACCTAATTAGCATTCAGTGGTCAGAAAGGCTCATTCCTTTATCCTGAAGAGGACCTCAGCACGTAGCAAGTAGATCCATAGCCAGGATCCGCAACTCAAACCTGAATATGCTCAGATTTGGGGAGAATTCAGAACCTGCTCTGCTTTTCAGCCTGATTCCATCTCTGATGTTGCCATTGGTTTTAGGTTCAGAGGAGCACCCAGCAGTTTGATTACTTCCCAAAATGTCCAGGATTTCTTTTGCTGCTGCTGAGGGCAATCAACCTGACTCCCTGACCTAATGCAAATCAAAAACAGTGCCTATGATACCATTTGTGATAATACTGCTATAAAAACAAGGTGAAAGAAGAATCAGGCTCCCTAAGAGTAGATTTTCTCCTGCCTTGCCAATTTTCTTTTTTTTTCCAAAACCCATTTAAAAGGAAGTGCTTCAGAGAACAAAAAAGACCACAAATGTTTCAGAAACTTCTGCAAGTGTTTGGGTTTTTTTGTTTTTCCCCAAACCCAGTTCTAAAAGTGCAGAGACACGTGATATGAACAGAGATGCATTAATTTGCTTTGACCTGCTTCACGAGTTTGATTCATACTAGCTGAATGCCCAGTTCAAAATCACCAATTTGGACATGCATTTGGCTCCAGATCCAATTTCTGGTTTTCCCTTCATAACGAGACCAAATCAAACTTGGAGTGGACTCATGGGAACATTAGGGTATCAGAAACCAGCTCTAGGATCCCAAATGTTGTGGCTTTTTTTCCTTACCAGCCATGTGATGTCCCCACACTACTTACAGTGTGAATTCAGATGCGGCTTTACAATGGGAAGACATAAGCAGCCTCAGAGAGAAGAGGTCTGTGTTTAAAGTGACCTTCTCTGAGTTATTTGGTAGCAATACCAAAGGGGATGTGGACAGTGTGATTACACAAGGGTTGAATTATTTTGGGACTACATTCCTTTTTTCTTTAGGGTGTTTTAAAATCAACATTACTTAACATGTTGTTAAGTAATCAGATACAGTCATATTCCGAGGAGACTCAGACCTTTCCTGTGGTTAAGCAACAATTAGTTGATTCAGACCGAGAGCTCTTTTTTACCGGCTTTTGTCAGTGGACACACAGCCATGGACACTTTGTTTCTCTTGTTTCTTAATTTTCTGAAAAGGGAAAGCAGGATTATATTTGTTTGCCTTGCATTAGTAAAGTGTAAGCCCCCTGAAGCTGTAACACAGTGCATATATGAAACTCATGCCTGCACAGAGAGCCAGCAAAAGACCTGTGCCTTATCTCAGCCGTTAGTGTGGGCATGCCCTGGAGAGTTTATTGACTCACGGAGGAATGGTGTTATAACGCAGAAATGGGGTGGGTTATACCACACTTCCCTGTGGTCTAGCTCCTCCGATTCAAGTGTTCAAAGAGCCTGGGCTCCTTTGCCTTTGCTCCTCCAGGCAACCCAGCTCGCATCCCAGACAAGCTTAATACCACGAATGGGGAAAGTGAGGCACAGAGAGTGTGTCTTGCTCACCACCAGATGATTCTGCACTGGGGCTGTGCAGAAAAACCCGGGCTGCTGTGGTTGCCTGCTTGAAATACAAGTATTTTCTGCTCCTGCAATTCCAGCTTTGGGCTGAGATGAGCAAAGCCTGAGATCGGAAAAGCAAATAATCTTTGGGGAGTGTCATGTTGTGACAGTATCGGACACAGGGAAAAGCCAGATGCCTGCAGGCTGGGATACCGTCAGGGTCAGCTATGAACAAGAGAAACCAAGAAGCCAACTGGGGAGCTTCAGCTGGGCCCATTAATCAGGCAGCGAGTTGTCCTCATGCACTTGCAGTTTGACAGTGCTCGCAATTAGATTGCAAGTCTGAAACAGAAGCTAGAAAATTAGAGTGGATGAATACTCACAATGAAATCAGGCTCATTATCAGCTGGATTAGGAGTCTGTTAGGCACTCTGATTAGGATTTAATATGTAGAAAACACTGTTTAAATCAATGGAACCATTCACGGAGTAAGGCAAAACTTAGAAAGGACCAGGGGTCCCAATGAAAGCAAATATGTTAGCTTCATCTAACAATAGGACATTATATTCTTTTTTTTTTTTTTTTTTCCTTCCTCTTCACTACTATCGTACTTGTAGAGCTATGGATCTTCCCTGTACTGGTCAGGACAACAGAGCTGAAACCAGAAACCCTCCACTCTCCCCCAAGTTAGCATGTGATATTTGGCAAGAGTCTAGACTTGCATTCTGATTGAGCACTGGAAAGAGGTCATCGCAGCCCCAATATAATTGACAAGCAATTAATTTCATAGTTAATGCTATCCTATTATTATTTCACTGGCCAAATGCTTTGCTTCTGTTATTTTTAATTCTAAGTTTTTGCCAGCTCTGCCACAGACATGGGCTAGGAGCCCAAAAAGTTCAGTCATGACTCTTTCTTCATTACTGCGTGAAGCAAAAATGTGCATGGGGTTTTCTCTTCAAACAGAACATTAGAATTAGTGAATTAGCATTACCAAGATAAAACCCAGCTTGACTGGCACTGGCCCACTCTGCGTGGAGGCAGGCATGGGGGTATTTTCAGAGCCTGGCTCCCTTCAGCTGCTTATTGTTTTGAGACTGGTTCATCTGAATTTTTCACAAAGCCACATCTGTTCACCTCTTAAAGATTTACTCCAGCTTAATATGAGTTAAATATATGAAGGTTCTAAGTGCAGCTTGCTGCTGTCCTGAGCCTTCCTGCTGCAGAATTGAGCTGGAGTTAAAAGTGTATGAACACGTTATGTGAGAAAGAGGAGACTGCTAATGGGTGGACTGACATTAGCCTCGCTTCTTTGCATGAGCATAATTGCTAGGAGATTATTAGTGACTGTCTCTAAACCCTACACCTCTCCCTACCTCTACAGATCCTTTCTGGCCATAGTGACTTACCTATTTCCCTAATTTTGAAGACCAGACTAATGTCTCTCTGGCATAGCTCCATTTCTCCCTTACACAACCAGGCGCTCACTTCATACAGATGGCCCCCCAAAGGAAGGCACAAGAAATCCTTCATTGTGTATCGTGACGGATATGTCAGACAGCCCATCCTCTATTCTCCTTTACTCTGTTGAAGGACCAGCCCTGATGTTCTGGAATTTGTAGGACATTTTTTAACCTCAGCTAGAATTTTGACATAAGAATTGAGTGAAAATGGAAAATGCATCTCAAGATTTCATCCAAGAAAGGATGGCAAAATAGCAAATAATATTCTGTTGTATATCATATTGTGATTGTTTCTTAATATTTATCCTGTTTGGATGGGGAAATGGATCTAATTCACAGCATTTACCCATATTTTAGCAGTCACCAGTGCAATTCTTGGCAATAATCAATAAAGCCGTTCCCCCTGCAGCTGCCCAAGATCACAGTTTTTCTCATTAGTCAGCAATCAATATCAGCCCTTAAGTTAATAATATATTATGGTGGCATTATGGCAGCTGGCCTTGTCTGTCTTTCTGATTGAAATGAACATTAAAGTTCCTTGGAATGGAAAAGAAGGCACAGGGTGGAAATCAATAGCATTGATTTCAGCATCACTTTCTGAAAAGACTGATCATCATCTTTGCTGGCCCTGGCGGGACGCTATTTTCACTCTTTGTTATTACACTCACAGGCCTATCCAGGAAAAAAAAAAGAATTGCTTTGATTTGCTCACCTGAAGTCTGCAGTAAGAGTGACTGCCATGGGATAAATGCTCTGTGGCACTCTTGGAGTCACCTTATGGCTTGGAAGGCGCTCCAGCCTTGTGTCTAATGGAAAAATATTTTCTAACGTTCATTTTAAAAATGGAAACATCCAGGCCCAGAGACAAAGGCTGTAAAAAATGTTCAGACTTTCTTTTATGATGTTCTTTAGCTGAGCACCTTAAGACATTAAAGAGCAATATTCACAGCTGTTGTATGTTGGTAGAGGCTAGACTGTACTCATTGGGGCTACCCTGATGCAAACAAGGTGAGGAGCTGGCTGGCTTCTCTGTCTTGTACACGTGCAATTTCAGTTTCAAGCAAGCTGCTCTTTTGTGATGATCCAGAAAGACATTGCTGATGGAAAAAATACGGTATCGTAGAAATGAGTGGCAAATCCTACCTTCTTTCTAAAAGGATGGTGAGATTATGCTGCTGCTAGTGATAGATGCTAGTGATATGCATTTCCACTGCACATCAGGCTGCGTTTCATGGGCTTTTCTTTTGTGTTCGACAGTGACTACAGGTATGTGGCTGCTGCTCTCGCCGTCATGAGGAATGTGACTCTACAGATCAACGAGCGGAAGCGGAGGTTGGAGAACATTGACAAGATAGCTCAGTGGCAGGCCTCCGTTCTGGACTGGGAGGTACAGTAAACACTCAGCCCTGATTTATGTGCTATGAACTGGAAAAAGTAAATTCCATGCAGTTGTTGAATTATCCAAGACCATATAGTTCATTTCACACAACCTAGTCTTGGGATTAAGCCTGGGACAGAGAACATATATTTACAGACTTCAGAGATGGTACTTAAGATGTAAAACATCAATGGTACTCTGAAGAAAATCTAGGGTCCAGTTCCAATTTCATCAATAGAAATCTGGAGTAACTTTTGCGATTGCAATGCTGTTGTCCTGGGAGTAAGTGAGATTTGGATCAAACTCTGTGTGCATTCTGGCTCTGTGCTTTGTCGTTGGGGACAAAGTAGGAAAAGAAGTAGCAAAAAGCCCTAGAAATTGTGACAGAAATTGGTTAAGAATATGGAGAAAACTCTGCTGTATGATTAGAAGTCAAAACGTTAAGCTGAAGTTAGAGATGCCTTTTGCACATTTAAAATGAGTACCCATTTAAAGATGTTTCTCTGTGTAGTTACGGTATAATTAAGGAGCTGAGAAACACAGGCAAGGCAAAGTCAGCAGAGGGAATCCTCGCTAGCAGGCCTTCAGTCTCCTACATTTTTGCCACGTGTTTAAAAAAAAAAGCCATACTAAAATTATTTTCTCCTTTTCTTTTCATCCCTGATTTTTTTTTAAATCATTGTTATGAATGTAAAAATCTAATTTTTGAAGCAGACTGAGGACAAACGTTTTTGTAAATCCCTCTCTATGTTGTCATCGATCCATGTGTTTAGCAAGTAGATACTTAGAGTGATGGCACAGCCTTTCTTCTTCCTTACAGTCATGAAGATCTGGAATAACTCCAGATTCAAGTCAATGGGATCATCCTATGTAAATTAGTATATGGGAAAGAGGCACTAATCCTTTAATTTTTTTTTTTCCAGAAAAGATTTAGGAAGGCTGGGAGGAGAGGGAGAGAAATACAGGTGCATCACCTTCTGATTGTGTATCCTCCTTGACTGAATTAGTTTCATTGCTATAATGAAAGTTGGATTCAACCCTGGATCTCTTGATAAATCATATAAATGCAGCAATCATAGCTGGTTCTTAAATTATGACTGGCTGTGAGAGCAGAGAATGCAGATGATTTGCTTGATTTTTTTATTGTTGTTTACTGTGAAGAAACCTCTCTCTCACTGACACATGGACTCGTTTTCAGAATTGGAAAACTGCTCTCAAGGAGGCACAGGACCATTAGTTCTATCTTCAGCCTTCAGTATATTCCATGTGATGAGCTAATGTGTGTCATTTGTAAGAAATGCCGAGACTCTGTCGTGGTTTAACCCCAGCCGGCAACTGAGCCCCACGCAGGCGCTTGCTCACTCCCCCCGGTGGGACGGGAGAGAGAATCGGAAGGGTAAAAGTGAGAAAACTCATGGGTTGAGATAAAGACAGTTTAATAGGTAAAGCAAAAGCCGTGTACTCCAGCAAAGCAAAACAAGGAATTAATTCACTGCTTCCCACCGGCAGGCAGGTGTTCAGCCATCTCCAGGAAAGCAGGACTCCATCACGCGTAATGGTGACTTGGGAAGACATCACTCCGCCATCGCTCCAAACATCCCCCCCTTCCTTCCTCTTCCCCCAGCTCTATATGCTGAGCATGATGTCATATGGTATGGGGTATCCCTTTGGTCAGTTGGGGTCAACTGTCCCAGCCGTGTCCCCTCCCAACTTCTTGTGCCCCCCCCAGCCTGCTCGCTGGTGGGGTGGGGTGAGGAGTGGAAAAGGCCTTGACTGTGTGTCAGCACTGCTCAGCAGGAGCGAAAACATCCCTGTGTTGTCAACACTGTTTCCAGCACAAACCCAAACAATAGTCCCATAGTCAACACTGTGAAGAAAACTAACTCTATCCCAGCCAAAACCGGCACAGACCCTCATTGTAAATAAATCTAGATTAAGGATAGATCAATTCCAAATTAGTGGATATTCATGTGTGAGTGGAAAGCCAAGGTGACCTCTACATAGGATCTATGGAATAGCAGTTTCTTTTTCTCTTCCATTAGCCTAGTTGTTAATTCATTTTTATTTAGCCATATCCTTTATAATTCATTCCCCTTCTTTATCTCAATCCTATCCTCAGGAACTTGCCAAATAATTCTTCCAGGCTTTTTTCAACTATTCCAGATTTTAATAACAATATTGCAGCAACATCCTTCAGCTTCTCATAATATAGCAGGACCTGCTGTTGCTACCGCTCAGAGATCTGATGGGAATACATCTACTGCCCCCATTCAAAGGAAAACACCCTTCTTGCCATTTTTATTCTATATTTTGGATCAAGAAGAGTCATAGAGTTGTGATGAGAACACTAGAGGATGAGAGCTAGATCCAGCAGAGGACTTCACTGCTTGATTCTTTCCTCTAAAGTAACTTCTGAATCATCAGATCCAGCTCCCACTTCGCAGATGTCCATGTAATGGCCAGAAGGATGTACAAAAAGAATGTCCATGTAATGGCCAGAAGGATGTACTCAGAAGTTAACCATAGTATAATGCAGGAAGAGAGCGGGAGAAATCAAAAGCACTGCCAGATGTTTAGATCTGTCCTAGATCTGTGCAGATACTCTCTGTAGACATTGCAGACCCAAGCTGCTAACCTCGCACTCAACTGATCTCTATCTATAGGACATGCCTCCCAGGACACAGGCCATTGGGGGTTGCGTTCTGACCCAGCCTGTAGGGGTTCAAGCTCTCATCTTCTACGCAGAGGCAGTTATGGAGTAGAAGATGGATTTCCTGGTACATCTCCCTAGCCTCTTCCAGTCTGTGGGGAACATGCATTTATTATTTGGGTCAGAGAGTAGAAGACCACGACTCTCAGTTCGTCTTTGGTGGAGGACACTCAGCTGAGAGAATGACCTGATGTCAACTTTGTGCTTCTACAAATGCTTATCCAGTTTATAATAAGTGCTCACTGAAACAGATAGGAACCACAGCATTACTCTCCTATCTTTCTGTGGCCCTATTTCTACTCTAATTAGAGTCTGTACCCAAAAGCGCTCCCTTTTTGTCCCTCTGTGTGTCACAGCGGCTTCCCGATCTCTCCAGCCGGCACGGCAGTGCAAACGAGCAATAGCAGCATGGACCCGGGGTGTACAGCACAGTCTTCCTTGAGAAGATCTGAAAAAAAGACTAAGTACAAGAAAGCAGGAACTAGGAGAAAAAATTATCAGTTCAGAGTTTTTTTCACCAGAAGTCCAGCCAGGGCACAAAATAGAGATAATCCCTAATTCCCCCTGTATGTCGCACTTGGTGAATTATTTCAGCAGTAAGCACATTGAAATCTTTCATTTGGAGAAAGTCTGTTTTTCCTCAACATCTTTAGGCTAACGGTGTTGACTCTCTGATTTGAAACTGCATTTTCATTTCTAAATTTACCTGTGTTTTGTGATGAGACGTTGGAAAAAGATTTTTAAAGAAGAAGAAAAAATCCAAACCAAACAAAAAATATTTAGTGAGTGAATATTTGAAATGTCCTTGTATACAAAGTGTATGTACACATTTTCTTGCAAGGAGAGGGTGTTATTGGGAATGTATACATGTTGCTGATCCTAAAACAAATAGAAAAAGTAGGGGGCATGTCCTGGCTAATTTAAGCAGAAGGGATTTTACTGAATCCCGTGGAGTTGTGCCTGTGTGTTTCAGGAATCATTTTTATCCCTCAAGATTTTCTGCATGGCCCTGTGAAGGTGAATTTCAGGGTCAGCGTTTGAAAAATGCAAATGTCCTTGAGTTAACCGAGGCCAGGTTTTTTTTTTCCAAGAAGTCACGTAAGCAGGATCTGATGGTTAAAATTGCAAATGGGACCAAGAAAGGGTGTCCTGACTCTAGTGGCAGCTGATATCCGTGCTGTGGCAGCTAGGGCATGAAGTCTTAAGGAATTATTGGCAGCTTTGGCAGCTTTATACAAGTAATGACTGAGCAGAATCTTAAGGGAAGATTCTGATCTCACCGACTGCTATAAATTAGAAATAATCCCAATCACTTTGAAATGTGTTCCTGTATAATTTGTAGGAACGTGGTCTTGACCGAAAAGCCTGGATTGGACTGTTGCCATGTATGACTCACTTCTTTATTTTGTAACCTGAATTTCCAATATATAAACAGACCTAGAGAGGTGCTGCCCCTGCCTACACCAAATTCTCTAGTGCGTTTCGTCCTTTCAGTTGTTAACGGTGCAGAATGTAGGGCTTCCACCACCTCCTGCCGAGGCTTTCAATGTCTGAGAGCTCTCCTTGTTATGAAGTGTTTCCTGATGTTCAACCTCTATTTCCCTTCGCTCAGCATCATCGCCTTACTTGTAGTTAAATACCCTCAGATCAAAACAGTGACATTTAAAGGCAGGCAGGCAAAATGGGCACACAAAGTTAGCTGGAGTGGGTTCAGAACAGCCTGCGAAGTCTCCTCTGGATCAGGCTTCAAACAGGCCAGAGAGAGCCCGCCCTGGGCAGCCTTTACGTGCTCAGTCCCTTGTGCTCTTGCCCTCTGAGAGTTACAGATCTCAAAGGTTAGTGGGTAATACCTAGATATATACACACACAACAATACTATAAAGAGATTATTTCCACAAAGCCCATCATCATTTCTAAGTCCTTGCAAGCCCCAGTTTGGGCAGTGCTGTATGTACAGGCGCACAAATGAGGCAGCGGGAGTGAAGGAGCGATACGTCCCTGCCTTCCTCTCTGTGTCTGCTCCTGTGCAGTCTTTGCTGGACAGCCATCGGAGGAGCATGTTCATGGCTCCTGCAAGCCCAGGGAGGCATGCAGGCGAGCGTGCTGCAGTGCCCAGCTCGCTGCAGCGCTGCTCCTGGGCAGGATTTGCCAGCTTGCCATTTGCTTGGTGCCCACCGCAGCCTCGAGTGCAACGGCACCCTTGCTGAGTGCCGTTACAGATGATGCGGAGATGGAAAACAGATCTGCGCTTTGGCACACTTCAGAATTGCTCTATTTTATGCCTTTTCATACAGCTCTTGAACCACGTCAAAACAAAATGAAGCAGCGATCCCTGCAGCATTTCAGGCTCCCTCTCCGGCCCTCATGGCAGCTGCCAGCAATGCCTTCCTCCCTTTCAGCCCAAGTTTTTTGCAGAGGAGGGAGGTGATGTGGCACCCGTTCCCTGGGAGGGGATCTGTGGAGGTCCCCGAGCAAGTGGCGGGATGTTTGGTACAGGAGAGAGCCTTGCTCATCAGCCTGGATTAGTTTTAACTTGCTATTTAAACAGATTACTTTGGTTTATGTAGATATCTAGATATTTCTACCACAGATTCCCATGGGTTGCCACTCTGGCAGGTTTTAAGAGTATTAAATTTACGTGAAGGGAAAAATATATATAATTGAGAAATATAATTAACACTGTCCTTTTAAATTTCTTCCCATTCTTGTTATTTACGGGTCCTTTAAATTGAGACTTGGTGCCCTTAATTATGTAATATGTAATAGTTGGCCTCAGCCTAATATTACGTTATTGAATCCAAGAATGACATGAAAAAAAAGATGCATGCAACCAACGTACTGTTTTCAAAGTGAGGACAGCCTGACGAGAAATCCTCCTGGGAAAAAAATTGCATCAGGGACGGAAACAGATCCTTCTTTTTTTTTCTTCTTCTTCCCCCCCCGCCCGCCAGCACAGAAGGTATAAAAAAATGAGCCTGATGAAAAGGACAACATTTCTCTCTCTTTCCTTTTTCTGATCTTTCTGTAGCCCCGAGTGCTAATCAGCCTGTCAATCTCTAATTAAAGAACAGCAGTGTCAGGCAGAAGAGAGCCTTGCTCGCTGAATGTTAACTAGTAAAGGGGATTTTGTGCCCAGCAGTGACAGCAAAGAGCCATGCCAGGAGGTGGGCTCAGGCGCAGGGGAGCGGGTCGGATGGGCTGATGAGCATTTCTGAGCCTGGGACAGCATCTGCTCAGGGATTGCTCGTGGGAAGAAGGAGCGGGGCAGACTGGGGGGTGTAACGTGCTACAGCGCGCAGTGCTTTGCCCTTCCTTGTAATGTTGGTGCTCCCAACAGCATTTCTTTCATGACACTAGTAAAAACCCTTTGGTTCCTCCCAGTTCCTCGCTATAGAAAGTGGTGGTCACCTACAGCATAGCTGGGGACCTGATGATCGACTTCTTTCTGTAGCAGCAGCAGAAGAGCTGACCCTCTGCTGCAACAGTCGGGATTAGCCCCAGGACTTTGTATGTCATTCTAGTGCTGGCAAGCTCGAGGGAGCATGAAGCACACGTCCTACCTAAATTTGGGTGACCTTCTGCTCCCATTACTGCACACTGAGTAGTTGGACTCTGCCGGTGACTGCATGAAGAAAAGAGGAGTCGGCTTTCTTTTTCCTGCCCTTTGTATGTAGCAGGATGCACAGTGCAAACCCTTGATGCAGGCTCGGGAGGGCTGGGTTCTTTTACTATAGGCTTATAGGATAACTCAGGTTGGAAGAGACCTCGGGAGGTCATCTAGTCTTCTCTTGGCCATTTTGCTGCTGTGCTCTGCTGAACTCCGTAGGACATCTGCCAGTTCAGAATAACTAAAAGTTCAAATTCTTCCTTTTTTAGCAGCATTTCTCTTAATTTACAGAGGATATGGATGACCCTCTCAAGGAGTTGCTTGGGAAAAAATGGAAAAGGAAAAGAGAATTTTTTCCTGGTTTTGTGTAGGATTGGAGGGATCCAAGCCTAGGACTGGCTTTAGAAAAGGACTGGGAGAGGCATTGTGGAAAGCCTGCCTCAAGTCAGGACCAAGTATCGAGGCATGCTGGGGTAGTCATGCTAGCAGTGGAGCAGAAAAGCAAATGCTTCCCTTCTTGCCCGCCACCCTGCAACTGACCCCATGAGCCTCCCCAGTAGGGACGCTCCACCAGCAGAAGACGGTTCATGCTGTTCAAAGAGGTGGTATAACTGTGTCGGAAAAAAAATGCCTTTCAAGGTTCATTGCATCTGCTTTAGGAGGTCTGGCAGTGCAACCGCACTGGTGTATTGCTGTAGCAGCCGAGGGCTTGAGGAGCAGGCAGGGCCATAGAGATCCTGCTCTTGAGGGCTGAAGGCTGGCCTGTTGTGTGCTAGTCCAAAACTATTTGCAATATGTATTTCCAAATCTGCTAACCCAGCACTGGAAATCATCTATTTCTAGCCTATAGACTGTGTGTATGGATTGTTTTCCCAACATAAAAAATGCAATACAAATCCTATCATTTCAGATCTAAATTTTTTTGGTTTATATTGCTTGCAGGGACTACACAGTTTGGATTCAGCTAATCAAGTAGAAGTGTTTACAGAGTCCTTTGTGTGTCCTCAGGCTTGAGATGCTACCACAGGAGTAAAAGACAAAACTGGCTTTCTACTTTTAGCAGCCAGCCTCTTCTAGGCTCGCCCCCTCTCATAAAAGCTCCCATCCATAGGCTTGTATGAATCTTCTTCATATAAGCTCATGTTTAGCCAGGAAAGCCCACAATTTCTGGAGCCAGTGTGTTTTCTTCAGAGGCTTCTTGTCCAAGGGCTTGCATATACCTGAGCTGTCGCAGCAGGTTTCTTGCCGGGAGGTACCACGGCTGAAATCAGACCCTGACACCACACTCTTGAGACATTGCATGATGCACGGCCCATCCCTTCGGGGAATGACCCTCTGTGTTCCCGGGAAGTTTTCCCTAATTAGGCCTTCAGATACCATAGCCAGAGAAGTGAGATAGAGAGGTGGATAAATACCTTGCTAAGGCGATTTGAAAGTCTGTGCTGCAGCATGATGATGCAGTGACTTAATGAAGTTGCTGTTGTCACAGGGCCCAGGGACTCAGGCAGTCGCTTCCAATCAATGCTGAGAGGTTAATTACACATTTACCTGAACAACAGTCTGAAATCCTCACCAAGAAATTAGGAGTGGGGATGGCTCTTCGTTGCTTTGGCACCTATGAGTGTAAGCAGTACCAGAAAAGCATGTCTATCTAGATGCCCCCCATAGCTGGCTGAACCTTTACAAGCTGTTTGCTGAGATTTTGTGATGGTCTTGTCCCAGAAATTGGTTCTAGTTTGGCATCAAAGCCAGACCTGCACTAGTTTTAGAGCCAAAAAGGAAAAAAAAAAAAAAAGCTTTTCTTTCACTTACTCCTGAATCCTGCTCCTTACCTTTTAGCTGAAGTTATCCTGATTCCTTCTGTGGTGTTGCAGAGTGAGAGATACACTGAGATGCCCACAGGGCAGGTGGTGGTGAATTCACCCATTTTTAATAAATACATTTTAATTAACTTTTTAAAAAGTCCAGCTCATCCCAATTAGTGGAGGGTGACTGCATTTGTTCTCTCGGAGAGTGGGAGAGAGAGTGCTGTGTTTTCAAGACCATCTGCTCATGAATCCTTAAAAAAAATTGGAGAGGAAAACAAGCGTTAGCCGGAGGCAGAGAAAGGGTGAGGGCATTCTGGCAGCCGGCCGGGGAGGCCTTGCCAGCTGGGGGGGCCGGAGGCTGCCAGAGGAGCCGGGGTGGTCCTGACAGTTTTTTGGAGATGGGGAGCTCTAACGAGCTATGGGAGAAGGGACTGTAATTGCCTGAATGAGTGGGAAGAGAGGCAACAATCTGGAGGGGTGAGTTTTGGCAGCCTCACGGGTCGGGGATTGATATCCCGGTGTAGATGACTGGTAGCTCGCCTGAGATTTCAGGAGGGGATGTGCTTTGGGATGCTATTCCAAAGGGAGGGGGTGCCAGGGCATTTGTTACCCTCAATACAAAGTGGCTCTGTCGTGGGCAGGAGGAAGGGGCTTTGCTCTCAGGATGCCACCAGCACCTGCAGCGAGATCCAGGGTCTGGGGCTACCTGGAGAGGGGGGAATGGGGACAGTGCCTGGAGCAGCTCTTTCCTCATTGCCATGTGAACCGTAATGACCATGCTTCGAGTGTCCACACTTACTTCATTTATTTCCCTTCCTTCAGAATTATCCCCTATCTCCAGTTCCTGGTCTGAAGTCAGATGGGGTGGCTTTGAGAGCTGCAGAAGGGCCAAAATCTTATTTAATTATTGCTTCTCCCCATTCTGCAAAGAGGAGCTTATCCACTGCCCTGGCTGGGAGCGGCGGTTCACTCGGCCTCGTTCTCTCTGCCCTCTAGGGAGACGATATCTTGGACCGCAGCTCAGAGTTGATCTACACGGGAGAGATGTCCTGGATTTACCAGCCTTATGGACGGAACCAGCAGCGTGTTTTCTTTCTCTTTGATCACCAGATGGTTCTCTGCAAGAAGGTAAGGACATCCAGGGAGAAAGCAGCACGGCTAAGGACATGCTGCAGACAGGCTTTCCAGTCCAAAGTGGTTTTTAGGGCAAGGTGGCTGTTTGCTACACGTGCAGAAGAGGACATGGATAGCACTGAGGAAGGGCGATCCACATGCTAGAAATACTGAATTACAGGATGGTGAGTATACCGTGATAGAGGGATTTTTATGCTCATAGCAAATCCAGCCTCCACTTGTTCATTTCATGCCTTTTTCTCATGTGCCCCTTGGTTGGCTCGTTGCCTCACTTCTACTTTTGGGTTTTGGCTGCAGCGTATGATCTGGGATTAAATAGCCCTAGAATTTCTATATGAACTATGAAGCCTGGCACTTGGGCAGACAACTCAATTACTGCATTAAAATGATGATCACTGCCTCTCAAAGAAGCATCAGGCAGCAGCCTGGTCTGTAGCAGGGTATATGTGCTGTCACTTGGTGAAGTGCATTTTAAGCCTCATCCTCATGTAGCTGCTGTGCTGGATTTTATAGGGCATATCTCTGCCATGAAACCCATCATGAAGGGAGAGAAAGGTAGTGAAGAATACTGATGCTAACGTTTTGTAGTATTAATAGCAGCAGGTGAACTGTGTTTTGGAGCAACTGTGTTAAGCAGCAGCATCACAGCTGTATTGCTGTAGTCCCGCTAAGGTGATCCCAGCTCATTACCGTCACAGCTGTTCGAAGTGAAGTGACAGAGCTCGTAAGTCTTCTGACAGACGGGGATTCATTGACATTTTCACTGCAGCTATACAGATAACTGTGCAGAGGGAGTCCCCTGGACCGGCTTCAAGTGGGAGCGAGGGCAAGCTGCAGACGTCTCCGGCCAAACACACCAGGGCTGTGTTCCTGTCACATCTCATATGCTAAGGAAAGGTTGAGCGAGACCCGCGCCGCGTGGCAGCCTTCCGAGGAGTGCCCTGCCGCCGCAGGAAGCGGCGTGGGTGGGGGCGTGGGTGGCTCCTGACTCACCGCAGCATCACTGCCCGCTGCCGTGTACGTGGAGCTGTGGCCTGTGCAGTTCAGTGGGTGGCACTTTCTTCTCCTGAGTCATGGTTGACTGAAATTTTGCCTTCTGGAACGTTTGTGCTTATTTTTCCCCTCCTTGTTGCTGCGCCTTTTACTCCTTTCCCGGCTCTGTAAAAAAAATAATCACAGAGCAACAATAACAAAGTCAGATGTTCAGAGAACTGTTAAAATTAGTCTGGAAGTACATAGCCAGGTTTAATTTTTAATCTTGACCTCCTACACTTTGATTGTGACCCTGAATTTCCGATTCATAAGGCAGCATCCAGTTTGGCTTGCGTTGGGTCTGATCCAGAGAGGTATCGAGCGTTCCTTAGCTCCTGGGGATTTCTGTGGTCATCAGTATGAGCAGAGCTGGGATTTCCGTGGTCATCAATATGAGCAGAGAGCATTCTGCAGTTCACAGCAAGGTTGTATCAGTATGCAAACAGTGTTAGTGTGACACTGTCTTCTTCCCTTATGTATTCAAAAGGCATTTTGTGGTGTGCGTGTGGCAATGCTGCACAAGAGATGCCTTCACGGGAAAACGCCCTGCAGATTTTAGCTGTCTCGGAGACAGCACTGTGGTCTTGGTCTTCCTGCAGAGAGACTGGCTCCATGTCAGGATCTGGCAGGCTCTTCTGCCGCTAGCCGAGGTCTTGTGGGACAGTGTCCCCACTGAGCTTTAAGGTGACAGGGCAGAGGGTGGTAACTCATCTAGTGAGCCTGGTATCATGGGCACAGGGTTCATACCTTGTTGTAGGTTCTCCGTCTGCATCTCTTTTTCCAGTATCAAACTGCAGTTGTTATTCCTCAGAGTGTTGGGGTAGGAGGGGACACAGGGTTACAGCTAGGCTCTCCCACCTTGATAATGTTTTCCTTGAACATTGTTAAGAAAGATTTTCCGACTATGGAATTCAGAGGAGCGTTAGCTCACATTTTGGGATCACGCATCCTATGTAAAATAAATCTGAATGATTTATAGCCTGTATTGTCTTGACCCTTGTGTCAGGCTTTGCTGTTACAGATCCCAACAGGCAACCATCTAGCAGGATAACCTCTGCTTTAGAGCCAGAGTGCTACATCCTGGGGCTTTCTTAGTGAAGCACCATTTATATCAAGGTGTGGGAAGCTGGGGCCAGTGTTCTTTACCCTATGCTTTAAAATTATTCTCTGAGGGAGAGGAAATATGACCCACACATCCCCAAGAGCAGGGAGGAGACAGCAGGTCTGCGGGGATGCTGGTGCTCCAGCTCCGCAGGGCCAGCAGTGGGCAGAGCACGATGGCCTGGGGTCATCTGCAGCACAGCCTGGTGCCAGTCACGGGAATTAAAGTGCTTGAGAGTGGCTTGAGCTGGCAATATGCTTTCATGTCCCACTTGATCCAACCCTCAGGGAATTGGAGTTGTCTGAGTCCAGAAGGGAGAGTTTGAGATTTCCAGAAGGTCTCGGAGTTCAGGCTGGTCCAGGGCTGCCAGCTCCTCTGCCTTGTGTACAGAGAGAATTAAGTCCTTTAGAGGTTTCCAAAGCACCCCTCTTATTCCAGACACAGGCAATGAGAAAATTCATGGACAACCTGACCTATGTTTTGCATGAGGTTTGTTTAGTTAGTGAGCCTGATCAAAATTTTCAGCTTTGGTACCTCTTACGATGGCACATCTCAGTGAATCTTCCTCTTCAGAAAATCTTCTGCATATGTGGGTTTTCTTCAGACATAATAAATCAGTAGGTATGATACATCCTTAATCATGACACGGTCTATTTGAGAATACATTTATTTTTGAATTATAATGGTTGAATTTTACATCTTTATTGGTCAAGAAATAAGGAACTAAAACCAATTCCTTATTTAAATAGATCACAGATACTTTACTTTGATGAAAGCATGCTAGATATCCTGAGAGGCTCTAGAAGACAAGCATGTGTTTCAAGCAAGATCTCCCACTCCTCCAGATCTTCATTTCAGTTACCTGCACATCATCCTCACCTTTGTTATCTGTTGTCTCCCTCGTAGATGTTTGCAGCTGCAACACCTCTGTGCTCTTGAATCCCCTAGTAATGCGTATGGATTCTGTGGTTTGGCAGATATTGATACATGAGTTTCTGATGGAGCAGATACAGTTCGATATCGTAAGCTCTGTGACAGTTTTGGATGTTGGTATTCTCCGTCATTCCCTTTGAACTCCATTGTCTGCAAAACTTGTTACACAGTAGGCTCACATTGCAAAGACTGTCAGATTCCTGCTCGCTAGTTCGTGCAGTGGAAGATGAAGTAATTTCTGCGTGGCAAAACTGGCTGGAATCAGCTTCACCCAGGTAGGCTAAGGTGAGACGTTAGCGGCATTTGCTGATACCAGTAGATGCATGTTAGGTCCAGGAAGATGGTATGTGAATTCCTGCAATATCTGGAAAAGTCCTGCCGAAAGCCAGTTTTTCTTTTGCTGCAAAAATTCCGGCAGCATTCTGCTTCCAGCCAACCGATGTGCTGGATATAGCAGTCCCAAGAGAGCACGCTGCTACATACATGCCCGCAACCCTTGTTTGTGTCCGTATTGCAAGCTGCTGATCCTTTGGGCAGGCTATATTGCTGCT